TACACACTTTGTAAGTGATAAAAAAATGCATACTGTGTTGACTTTGCTGTATTGTGGGGTTTTTTGATGTAATAAAATTTGTTTCCTCAAAATTTGGCCAGTTGGATGTTGGGCAGTTCTCAGCAGATACAAATGCATACTTTGTAAGTGATAAAAAAGGGAAAATAGGAGATACTCTGATCAAGTCCACTTGGATGTGAAAAGTTCTTCCTTTTTTTAATGTTTGTGAATTAAACACACTTATTCTTCAGGTGATCCTCCCCTCCTGCTCTAGTGTTTACTGGTGCTTTCAAGTGAGATGGAAGTGGATCAAAAAGTTCTTAGCTTTTACGGAAAAAGGAAAAAACACCCGAAAAGAGAATTAATTGTCAGTGTTGCCACAGGTGTGAGCTGAGCCCTGTGACAGGTTTTTGTTGCTCTGACCCCGTGCTGGGCACCAGTGTCTGATCAGCAAGGCAGCAGGGACATTACCAGATCAGGTTCAGCGCCTGGATAAATGTGTGTGCAGCTGAAATAAACCCCACAATAGAGTTCTCTTCGGTGCTTCTGCCACAGCCCAGCCTTCCTGATGGATGTTAAGAAGCCTTAGTGTTTATAAGAAACATCAGCTTCCCTAATCGTTCATTGATCTGTTGTTCTGGGTGGAATGATGAAGCTTTCGCTGTTATTTTGCTCTGCTTCACTCAGATTCGCTTGATTCGAACCAAAAGACGATTTAAGATGGCAGGGCACAATTTTACTCTCATTTACTCCCAGCTGACAGGATAATTCTGGTTTTGCTGTTGGGAGCTTCAAGTGCTTCATCTGTGCTCAGCTAGTATTAGTTGTAATTAAGGGAATGGGCTGTCTAGAGCTCATTTTTACAGTTCATCACCTGAAAAAGAACCTCCAAAAAGAATCCTTTTGCTTTTAGTGTCATTTTGAGTTTCTTCCTCACCCTCTGCAGGACTGCCCATCTTGGGGCAGACCTCTGGGGAGGGCAACACCTTCACTGACTCTGTTCTTATCTCAGGGTAGCTATTTGTAGGTTTAAAAACCAGAAAATTGGCTATGTTTGGGCTCATAGAGTCAGTTAGGAGACTGGTTTATAAACTGACATGGCTGTTCCTGGGGTGCAGGACACTGCTGGACACAGGGACAGCAAACTGTGGAGTACAAGTGCTCATCTCCTGTCTGAGAAGGGGGATAAAAGTTTTTTTCTTGATAAATATATCAGAACCCTGTGGTTTGGTGTGTTTTTTAAGCAGCTTGTGAGGCATTAGATATGTCAAGCGTATGTACACAGTTTGTGGGGATTGGGATGGGGCCAGGCTGTGGCACACGGCGTGTGGGGATTGGGATGGGGCCGGGCTGTGGCACACGGCGTGTGGGGATTGGGATGGGGCCGGGCTGTGGCACACGGCGTGTGGGGATTGGGATGGGGCTGCAGCCCAGCCTCATCCCCAGTGGGCACAGCTGTGAGGAGCAGGTGAGCAGCACTGACAGCAATGAGCCATGGAGTGCCCAGGGGCACTGAGCAACAACCAAAGGGCACAGAGGGCACACAGGGGCACTGCAGCAACATGAGGGGTACAAAAGGCTGGGCTGAAGGACAAGAAGGGCAGACCCTTGCAGCCTTCTGAAGAGGTAAGGTATTACTGTGTATGGGTTGAAGCTTTCTGAAATTGTGATATTTTGTGTATTGTGGCCGTCTCAACTGTGTTGTGTGGATTAATACTTTTCCCCTGGCCTTCCTTTTGTTTGTGCTGGAAGCTTGTTCTTACCCAGGGGCTGATGCCTGATAGTCTCAGTTCCCTTTTTGTTCTTCCTGAGGGACAGGTTCGTGGGAAATGTGTTTTTGCAAGTGCCTGCAAGCCCTAGCAGGAGAATCAGACTGGGAGATGGCACTCATTGTTGTGAGCCACTCCACCTTGCTGGGAACACAGATGGAAGCTGGAGCAAAGCAGCTCAAACAGAGCATTATGATAGCTGAGTCCAGGATACCTGCCCAAGAAAATGTCCAACCTCAAGTTCAAGGGATGAGAAGGTTAAATCATGCCTGACCTTGGCACGAGGCGCAGGGGAAGAGACCTAAGTGCTGGTCCCTTCTGGCATGAGGATTGGTAAGTCAGAAGCCAGTAGCCACCTTTGCAGCGACTGCAGCAGGGCTGGGAGTGAGCTCCAAGTGGGCAGGTGTCCATTTTCAGTGACAGCCACGTTAAAACTTGCAGTGCCTGGCCAAGTGACAGTGTTGGCTGTGAGTGGCTGAAGCTTGAGATGCCTTCTGCCTTCCCAGTGTATCTCCTTCAAGATGGACTGGTCAGAAAAGACCCTGCAAACCAGAAACCATCCTGCAAAGCAGCTTATTGTCCTGCATTTTTCATTCCTATTTGAATTTAAACCCAAATGAAGCCCTGTCTTAAGATATCAAACTACTAGATTTGGTTCATCAGGTGGTTGTTTCCTAGGAAATTAGAAACCCTTTGGGGTTTATTTTCATAATTTTGTATTGCAAGCACAAACATGGCAGTGTCTCCAGCAAATGAATGTGTGTTGCAATATGGTGGCAGCCATGGGACTGCAAAGAACCTTGTGGTTTGTCAAAATACTTGCCATAATTTGCCATTTCAGTTGGTTAAGCCAGACAAAGTGCAGGGCTTCTGAGGCAATTCACAATTATCAGCAACAGGACATTGTCATTTTCTCTGGTGGGCTAGTGTTTTGTTTTGGACTTTTTTTGGGGCTTTTTTTTCTCCCCCAAGTTTGGAATGAAGACTTGCTGCTCTGTTTGTGTGTGACATTTCAGTCCTGTTCTGAATTGCAGCCCTTTCAGGTGGAATTGCTGTTTGGCAGCAAGACATACCCTAAAAATAGAAAATGTGGTTATAAGTGACAACAATTGGCAGGGAGGACCTGTTCAGATGCAATTTTGGAACTGCTTTTAATTTTTTTCCACTCAATTCCAAGTTAAACATCCATTTAAATTAATTAGAGCAATCATAGTATCCCTAGAATATCAATGGAGAAACTGAAGCCGCGAGTGTAATTTAAGTATTTCTTGAATTCTGAGGAGATGCTAAAAAAGGCTGCTTAACAAAAATTTTTGCATATGATGAAAAGCAAATTCCTGACCAAACTGGCTAAGCTCAAATATCTGAAGGCAAAGAGCTATCATGAAAGTGCTGTAAAGCTTCTGATTAAAATGGAATCGGTGTCCCAGGGTATAATGCAGCTCTACACTTAATACTTAGCTGCTGAACCCTACTTCTCAACCTGCCTCCACTCACTGGGCTCTCATGAGAGTCCTGTAAGGACGCTGGGCTTTGTTTAGGTGCCAAGCCAGTCTGGAAATGGCTTTTTCAGCAGCTTCATCTGAGTACAAACGCTTGACTTCAGAAGGACAGCCAGTACCTCGATTCTGTGGCCCAGCATCCATTCCTTATGTACACTGCCACATGTATTAATAACCTCGCAGGCTTTTATAAGCCTAATTAAAAGGCTTGTGCACACTTAAATGTGAAATCATGGCAGAGTGCTGAAGCAGCAAAGCAAGATCCTGTCCTTGGTGCTGCAAATCCATTGCTGCCTTTCTTTATTAATGATCTGTACATGACAAGTTGAATTCTCTGCCTGCTGTTGCTTGTCGGGTTGTTTTTATTACAGTATCGACTGGAGTCCCCCTCATGTTGGTTGTAGTCTGGGCACGTTACTCTGAGCAGAATTTTTCTTTCAGTGTTTTGTTTAAGGTATTGACTTTGCCAAAGGGAAGGGAAAAGTGTGTGCAGCCACTTAAGCACACAAGTAGTGGTATCAATTTCCATCCATTAAAATATGCACATGCACACAAACACACAGCTCTGTGCAGTGGTCACAGGCACGGGCTGAGGTGAGCTTTGGAAAACAGACTCAAGAGACCCTCTCCAATATTGAGATTCTGCTGCCAGGAGCATCCTTCAGCCTGTGCCAAGTCCTGCTGAAGATGGTGGGGTCGTTGTCAGCGTTGAAATGACATTTTTCAAAGGCATTTGTGTATTTCTAGGCCATTTCTTTCAATTCCTTAGAATGAACTTTATTTTCTAAGGGAGCATATTTCTATGGTTTTGGGTGTTCTGTTTTTTTTTTGTTTGTTTGTTTTTTGGTTTGTTTTTTTTTTCCTATCAAATTCTTAGTTCAGGTAATCTTTTGAACTTTGAAAAAGTTTTTTTAGTTATTGGGTTTTGGGGTGGTTTTTTTCCTTTCCAGCCCAGGCAATCAATTCCTGAATATGAGCAGGAGGGTTATTGAGCAGTTCCTCTAGAGCCAGCAAAGATTTCAGCCAACTCAAAGGTGCAGCAATCATTTTGCAAAAGTTTGGATTGCAGTTTTGATCCAAGACTGGGATGTATGTGCGTGGATGGTTCCAGCACTGCCAGATGAAACTTGGAGATTAATCTTTGTAAATGTTCAGTGATCAGTTGCATTTGAAAATACACAAAATGGGTGTTAGTACAGATGTGTTTTATCTTTGTTTTCTCTTCCAAACTGGCCCCCCCGTCTTCCATCCGTTCCTGTTTGATGGTGAGCTCTTTCAGAGGTGTTTTCCCATGTTATGTCCCTTCAGTCCCACCCTGAAATACACTGTACAACACAGAGTTACTTGCAGACAGACAATCTCATCTGAACTGTGGCATTGCCCCAGTGGATTCTGTTCATGTACTGCAGAGGCCTTTGACCTGCTCTCTGCTTTGAGTCATGCAAAGTCATCCTTACAGTGAATTTCTGTTTGTGTTTCAATAAACTGATAAAAATGGCTATCTCTTTATTTTCTACCTTTTAAACAACTATGTCCAGTAAACTCACTAAAATTAAAACAGAAATGTGCTTGAAATCATTAAGTTGAAACCGAATTTGTTTTTCACATGATCTGGGGTTTTTTTGTCTTGGGTAGCAGTGTCTTGTCCTAAAGCACCCACTGTCTGGGAAATTGAGGACAATTAAAGATGGGCCATGTCTGATGTGTTTGTTTCATTTGTGCCTTTCAGTCTATCCGAGAAGTGACGGGCTATGTGCTGGTGGCTTTGAACCAGTTTGAGTACCTGCCCCTGGAGAACCTGCGCATCGTCCGTGGCACCAAGCTCTACGAGGAGCGCTACGCCCTGGCCATATTCCTCAACTACAGGAAGGATGGCAACTTCGGGCTCAGGGAACTTGGCTTGAGGAACCTGACAGGTAAACCAAACTTGGAAATGTGGTGGATTAGTTGCAAGACAAAAAATGAGCCTGTTGAGTATTTCCCCAGTGCCATCGGTCACTTGCATTCTGCAGGAGACTGAGGTGCCACAGGAGCCTGGCAGTTGTGTGTTCATTCTTTTTTTGGTTCACAAAACTACTTCTCTCCATAATGATCCATGAGACTTGTGGCAAGAGCATATTTGAAACAAAAGCAGTTATTGGAAGAGTATGTGAACTTTTTTGTGTGTTGATATCATGAGCATGTTGGTGATCCTTGATTACTGCACACTTTTTCCTTCAGGTGCTGGCTATTTTCTGCCAGATTATCTTAGCGTTATCATCCCCTCTGCCTCTGTATCTTTGCTTTATTCAATTTTAGAACTCCCTTTTCTAAGCAAAAATAGTGCATTATATATAGTGAGAAAAGTGCTTTTTTTGGTGGTTTTTTTTTTCAGTCAAAAATGTAAGCAAAATCCACAGCTTCATGTTTACCTGTAAATTCAGGGCTGCATCATGCTGTGGGATAGATCAACCATTCATTTACTCCATCTGAGGATCCAAAGTCAGTGCTTTGGGAGATTAAAACTTGCTGAATATCAACAGGCTGTAACTTAATAAAGAGCAGGCAGTGGCTCTTAGTGACTTCACTAGAAGTATTTTATTTATACCTTTTTCCTCATCAACTGTGATAATTGCTACACTAAACTTTGGTAATTTGGTTGTGGCTTTGTATCTGCTAGTGGCTGAAAGCTGACTTAAAATCACTGAGCTGGCTGTGGAGATTGAACCTTAGTATGGAGAGGTGGGAGCCTTCTAAGCTATATTTAGGCACCCTTCCCTCTCTGCTTCTTTTGTCTGTCAGTATTTAGAGTAGCACGAGTGCTTACAGTTCCTGTTCAGCCTCACTAGGCTGTACAGCAAGGCTTTTAAAAACAGGAGGGAAAAGAAGGCCTGAAATAATTTACCAAATAAACTAATTTTGGATGACTCTGATTAGGCTCTTTCCTCTGGTCATATTTTTGACAATTTTCTTTACTGAGACCATCATGCCAGTATCAGAGTGCTTCCCAAATGTCTCTAAATCCCTGCAATCTACTACTCTTCACTCTGTCACTGTCATAATCCAATTTCTTCCTCTTCTGTTCCCATATATCTTCCCACCTTTCTGATATAGGGAGTTCATTGTGACTGTCTATGCCTTCACATCATATAGAGCCACAGCATTGGGTGATATACAAAGAAAAAGATAATGCTGTTTTCTGGTCTTTGAGTCTCAAAATGCCTTGTAAAGACACTAGGCTGGGTAAAACTGAGATAGAGAGGTGAGGTGAGGCCAAGGCCAGAAAAGGATGGAAGTCTTTCCTCTTGGGTTTGAGGTGTTTCTGCCAGGAGAGTGTTTTACTCCTAGGGCTCGTTTAGCCATCTTTGCTGCTCAGTAGGGTAAAGAAAACTTATCCTGTATGCTTCTGCTCCAGTTTTGGTCTTGAAACAGCTTCCCTGTGCTATTTGGCAGCTCCTCAGACTCCAGAGATGCCCTCTGGGAGCTGTTGTGACGTGACAGACACAGCACCAAAACTGCCCAGCAAGTGGTTTCATTTTCTTTTGAAAGGTCTTAAGAAAACTGGCCTTAGCTCAGCCTGTGAATCTCTCCCAACATGAGATCATCACAGCCACTTCTTCTGATTTAGGTGTTTACAAAGGCCTCTGATGGGATTATTTGACTTGAAATGAATTGTTGTCTTCTGGAAGAAAAGTGCCCTAATAACACCAGCTTGTCTCCAGGGAGCATTTCAAATAGCTTCTGGGTGCTGAACGTGAGCCAGTGTGTGCTTGAAAATACTCTTAATGTTTTCTAGACACCATGCCATGGCCTCATGAGTCTCTCCAGCAGATGTTCTCTGGCTGTTTTGTGCACTGGTGTTTTAACCCCCCAACCCACCTCTTGTTGTGCATGTTCATCCTTCATGAATTTTCCTGACACATCCTTAGCACTAGTAGCTGCATAAATAGAACTAGTGGATGTGGGAGTCGGTGATGTAGCAAGGCTGTGATGGATCAGCAGTATCTGAACCAATTCTTTAGTTTTACCCCAGAAACCATGGGTGAGCTGCTAAACTGAAGAAGAAGCAGCCCCCATGGGCTCACATTCTTCAAGTTCACTGCAGATTTGAAGAGAATCTGGCTTTGAATCATGCATCCCTTCACTTGAGTAAAATATTACATGGCTCTTGTCTTGCACGTGACAAATTGTCATTCCAGGGCTTATGCCTTGTTCTTGAGAGTCTGGGAAATTCTGGTTTTATTTGTGCAGTGCTGGATTGATAGGCTCCTGAGGGTATTTCTGCCTAGTGCTGTGCAGTATACAAACACAAGCCCTACTCCCTGTGTTAAATAAATGAGGAAGCTTCTCTCACCTGCAGCTTCTCCTCAGACACAGAGTTTCAGCCTCCTGTGCTGTACCACTGCAGCATTTTCTGTGTGTTGTTAACAGCTGTGTTTTTATTGCCAGATATGTCTATCAAGTTTTCATATTTAAATGTTACTTTAAATGCTTGAATTTCCTCCCTTGCTCTATAAAAAAAATGACAGCTGTGAAGGCAGTTAGTTTTATCTCACACAGAAAACATTATCTAATTCTCACTCATGATATCTGTCAAACCACAAGGGAGTTTTGTTTGTATAGCTCAGCCCAGGACTATGTCCTAAAATGCATGTGACACTTGCAAAAAATCTTAACTATAAAAATTCTGTTCTCACTTTTTACAAAAACTTAGTCAACAGTATAGTTCCACAAATGTGTCAAAACTGAACTGACACTGAACTAATGAAGTGGCTGCTGCCATCTCAGCTGGACTCGTCTCAGTGTGCAGATTCAGCTGCCAAGGAGCCTCTCAGTGAAAAGGAGGGTTTGACATCCTGGTTGTGTTCTTCAGCTGAGATGAGCAGAGTTGGTGGTGCTGAGGGAGGTGCTGTGCCAGATTCTTCCAGCCATTGCCCAGGAGCCACTGAAGGTCACCAGGCAGTCAACCTCAGCTTACCCAGGGAAAGGAAATCATTGGTGCTCACATTTGGAGCCCTCCAAACAGAGAGGGAACCTGATGGCTGCATCTCATTTCTGCCTGGGAGGGGAAAGAGGGATAACTCACAAGTGCCAGAACCATTTAGGAAGTGTCTTGGTTTGAAATGACAGGTGTCTGCTAAGGAAGGCAGGAGCCTCCCCTGAACTGGAAAATGTAAACCCCCTCCCTATGATTTATTATAATTTTGAAATTAAGGGGCTCTTGGGCAAAGATATGGGAATAGGAATAACAATTCTTTGTTAGGGAAGAAAATAAAAATAATATTAATAAAAAAAAAAAAAAAGCAGTAATACAAAACAACACTGCCAGAGTCAGAATAGGACCTGACACCCTGTGGGTCAGGGAGGTGGCAGCAGCCCCATCCCATGGTGGCTCAGCCCTCCTGCAGTGCCAGCTGTGCTTCTGCTGGAGCAGGATCCTGGACAAGGGGGGAGTTTTCCTCTGGAGCTCCAGGGCTGGTGGGGATGGGCCTGGGCTTCCTCTGGAAATGCAGTGGGGAAGAAAGATGCTCCTCTGGGAATGCAGTGGGCAAAGGCTGCTGTGGTGTCCCAAAACTCAGATTATATCCAGGTAGGAATGTTTGGCTCCTCCCCTGGGCAGGGCATCTCCCAATGGATGATGGAATTTTCTCGGCCATGCAGGGACACTCAGTGGCCATGAACAGAAGAGATCTCCTGGAGGGAGGATTGGTTATGGGAGAGATAAAGAAAACTGCCCCACCTCTAACAGATGGGAAACAGAATACACAGCCCCAAACCACATATCACAAGCCAGGACAGAATTATCCCATATTTTCCTCTGTGAAGATGAATAAGAGAGATCTACAGCAAATTGTGTCTTTGAGCAGTGACAACCTCATCTTCCCTTTTGCCTTGGGGACAGCAGGTTCCGTGCATCCTTTGAATTCTTTGTATATATTAGAATGAAGTCAACTTAGCAGTGAGAAGTGCAGTAACACAAACAAGAAACAAGCCCACAGCAAAATATCTAGGAGTTTTCATTGTTTGTTTTTTTGGGAATGCAGATGGATGATAAATTAAGGTAACTGAGGTTCAAGTGAGGAATAGATATTGCAGGCTAAAGGATTTATCAGTGGTAGCCACACACAGGGAATCTAATTTGATGAGCAGGAGAATCATAAAGAAAGGATCATTTTCACTGGTGTAGAAAGTAAATTTTGCAAAATTGTAAATTTCCCCTTCAACAGATGTTTGTAATTGATTTTCTACCTTTCAATTTTTGATTAAATTTTGTATTTATTTTTCTGCAGAGCAAAATTTTAATATTTTATGCTTATAGTATTTTTCCCCCACCACAGGAAACTAAAAATGCTAAATGGTACCTTGGAGTAGCATCACTCCTTTAAAAGGCTGCTTTTCAAGCAGTTTTTTTTTTTTTGTTTCTTCCTTAACAAGCTAATTTACTGGAATTATAATGCAGCTCAGTCAGGTTGGAGGGAAGGGCATGGGAGGAGTTAAGTTTTGTTCAGTGTGCCTTTGAACTTAAAATTCTTTTGGAAGTCGTTCTTGGAGGACTGTGCAGGACCCGAGTGATGGCAGGTTTTTGTGGCAGGGATGGCACGTTTTTGTGGCAGGGATGAAGGCCACCCCCTTTTTCTTGCCTTGATCACAAAGCCCTTTCCTCAGAGGACATGCAGGAGCCAGTCCTGGTGTCCAGGGGTGCCTGTGTGGCACATTCCTGCATTCCTTTACGGGGATGAGCTGGGAAGAAAGCCATGTGTAACTTGCCTCAGGCTGGCTGTGCAACAGGTGGGTGAGGCACAGCATCTGTAACCTCGGAGAGGGGTTGCTAGGATACCTGGAGGCGTGAGGAATTGGTTTAAACATCCCTGTGGTCCCTTTGCAGGAGTTGTCTGTAGAAGAAGCTGCAGCAGCTCTGGGGCTGCCCAGGCGTGCT